TAATATGAATAAATAATACAAAAATAATGCTGATGATTTTTTTTTCTTTTTGTAATGTAAAAATAAAACATGTATTGCAAATAGTTATAGATGAAATACAATATAACATGTTGTTTGTAGTTTTCAGGGTAAGTAAGACATATAATGTTTGAGCAGTCTAGCAGTCTTTGAGCAGAAACCCATGGACATCTATGGCACATCACATCTATGACATGATGACACAGTGACTGGCATGTCCCTGACAGGATATGACATGTGAACTCAGTGCACATGCTGTCGGGAGCATTTACCTTAGATGATTCCTATTTTTCTTTTCTCTGTTCAGTGCATCAGCTCATCCTGTCAATGAAAATGTAATGCACATTTTTCAAAGATTGTGAGCTCTTTTTTAGGTATTTTTGTTTTGTATGTATCTGTTTAGACTACACAGCATTTCAGTTCTTGTCCAGTCTTCCGGATGCGGTGACTTGGGTCCTTTTTGTGGTTGTTCCTGCTAAATTATTCACATAAACCTATTTTGATTACTCAGGAAGGGCCTCTGGGCATCATTTCCCTCATTTTAACCACTCAGGTTATATTTTAGTGAGTTTCAAAGGGCACCTGACCTTACGTGTATGTGTTCTGTCAGATGTGTGGGTTAGGTGCAAGAATATTTTATGACTGTTAAAAACTACATCTAGTTTGCTAAAATGTAGGGGTTGATGAGAAAATGTCTTTAATTTTCTTTTATGAGTTTATTGTCACTGAGAAATGAAAGATGAAGTCAGAGTTATGGATGAGGAACTAATTTCTTCTCGATTTCAGTATTTTTTATTTAAGATTGGTCATTTAAATGCTGATCCTCTGGAGTTAATATTACATTGCGTTTGTTGCAAGATTCATTATTTTGATTAAACAGCTCCCAATTCATGGTAGATGGTTGATTTCACATAGCATACAGATAAAATATGTTAAAAAAAGAGATCTGTAGATCAGTTTTGCTGGCTGTTTCTTTTAAAACTTTAATAAATCTTTATTAAACAAGATTCCTTTCAGTATATACTTCACAAGCTCTAAGAACAGATTAGAGATTTTTCTATTTCATTACACTGATCATGTATTCCAGTCATTTATTTATTTATTTTTAATCATTTGAAGTGGTCGAGGACGTTTCTGTAAGTAATTAACAAAACTGTAAAAGCCATTGGGTTGAATGAACTTGAACACCCACATCCACTGCACTTGTGAACGTAGTTTTAGAGGTCGACCGATAGTGGATTTTACCGATACTGATCGCTAGGTTGGACCA